AATCTGAATTTTCAGGGTTTTTCTAAAGCAGCCAGATCATAATATTTCAATGCTTCCACAATTCTTTACATTTCATCTAAAGTAGCCGCTTTGAAAATTTTCAAAATTAATTGTACCTTTATTATAATGATGATTTGCATTTTCAGGATTTTTTTTAATGGCCAAGTCATAATAATAAAGTGCTTCCTCAAATCTCTTCATTTAATTTAACAAATCAGCTATTTCAATATTCTAAGTTAATTAAACCTTTATTCCTAAGATAATCTGAATTTTCAGGGTTTTTCTAAATTGCTTTATCGTAATATTGCAACGCCTCTTAAACTCTATTCATTCTATCTAAAGTCATCGCTGTGTTCATGTTAAATAAATGTACCCATATTATTTAAATACAAGGGATTTTCAGAGTTTTTCTAAATCGCTTAATCAAAAAATTAAAGTGCATCTTTATACTTTTTCATTTTAAATAAAGTTTCCGCTGTGTAAAAAGTAAAAAATTAATATACCTTTATTATTAAAATAGTCGGAAATCTCAGGGTTTTTCTAAATCGCTTAATCATTATATAAGAGTGCTTCTTCAAATTTATTCATTTTATTTAGAGTAATTGCTTTGAAATATCCTGAGTAAAGTTTACCTTTATTAAAATAATATTCTGAATTTTCTGGGTCTTACTTTATTGCTAAATCATATGCTTCTAACGATTCTTCCAATCTACCCATTCCTTCTAAAGTAATCGCTTAGAATATATGAAAAAATTAGATACCTTTGTTATTATAATAATAGGAACTTTAAGGACTGATTAAAATAGCTTTATCATATTATTCCAATGCTTCATTATATCTTTTCATTTTCTTTAAAGTTTCAGCTATCAATTATTAATAGTAAAGTGAACCTTTATTATCATAATAGTTCGAATTATTAGAATTTTTCTCAATAGCAAAATCATACTGTTTCAATGCTTCTTCTAATCTATCCATTTTATATAAGGTAGTCGCTATTTAAATATATAGACTAATCCTACCTTTGTTGAAATAATAGTTTGAATTTTCGATATCTTTTTAAATAGCTATATCATAATATTCTAATGCTTCTTCAAATCTATTCATTTTCTCTAAAGTAGACCCTATGTAATATGACTTATAAACTATACCTTTGCTATAATAATAGTCGGAATTTTCAGGGTTGTTCTAAATAGCTAAATCATAAT